AATGCGCCGTAAACAAAAATCTTGGCGCCATTATAGTGTTTCAGAAACACTATACAGTGTGTTTTTTTGGGAGCTTTAGTTAAACGATTCTGGGAAAGTAAAATAGGTAGGTTTTTAAAAATTTGTATTTAGGAGTTACTCCGAAGGCCGAATCGATGTAAAATATTTTCAAAATGGACGCACTTCCGGAAATAACTTTTGAAAACGCTAAGTTAGACCCTCCACTTTTTAAAAATTTTTTATGGCTTAACCGTAATTGCGCTAGCTTTAATTCAAGTGGCGCAATTGAGCGCATAACCAAATGTATCAGGTGACCTAGTTACAAGGGACAAAATACGTACTGGGGGGGGGGGCTACGGTCACTTGGCCCCCCCAAATGTTTTTTCAGATTTCTAAAAAACGATAATGGCGCAAGAGTTATTATCGGTGGCACATATGAGCGCATAACGAGCGCGTTCATTTCAAAATAATATGACTATCAAATCTCTCAGTGGGGGGGCCAAGTTAACGGACCCTATTTATTCAGATTCATACTCTTTAAAAACTCGATTTCATCATTACGAAGAATTTATTTTTACTCGCCTGCTAAGAAGAAATACACAAAAAATAAGTAATTTGAAGAAAACGTTTGAAGGCTCGTTAAAATAAGTATCAACCAGTAGCGTAACTTCATTTTAAGGGCCCGTGTTCAAAAATATTTGGGGACCCTTTCCCTTACGCTTATTTTAACCACTTGGATTTCTAGTGACAACCATCTTAAAAATGTATAAGTGCTTGTATAAATGAAAGTTCACTGGAAATACACCCCAGAAGATTCGGATTCTTTAATAAAGATAGCACCCTCAAATCGATCTTTTGACGTTACTCGACTCTGAGCTTTAAAAAAAACTTGATGATTAGGGCTAGCCGCAGGAATTCCTTGTTAAAATTACTTAGCGGCATTCATCTCGAAATACAACTTCAGTCTAAGGTTACCGTATCCAGGATGTTCAGGTACTTTCTGGACTGCAGACAGTCTCGCTAATTAACAAAGTATTTCAAGCACTTTATGTAAGAGAGTTCGGAATGGGAAAGGAGTGGAGTTGCTTTTAAATGTATTTGAGCTAGCTACTTTTGAGAATATCAAATTTCGTATTAAATTAAAGTCCGATTTAAATTATTAAAATTAAAGGGTTACTTCCTCGGATTGTTAATGTTTGTATATTGTAGATATTGGTCCAGATTTATCATTTGTAAACAATGGTTCGGAATTTTTTACCATGGAATATTAGTTACCAAATTTCAACAATTCACAGATTTTGCAATCCATGTAACCATCGGAGACATTGGAAATGATAACCGTATATCGCCGTGAACAAAACTCATAACTTTGTACCCATATACGAAAACATAAACATTTCCAATGTTAACAAAATATGTGGTTATAGCAGTCAAGGGCGAAGATTCCCTAAAAATTGTATTAAAAATGTTTAAGCGTTTTCAGGAAAATGAAAGACATCTGAGAGGGCGTATATTAAATTTATTTTTTAATTCATAAGATAGTAAAATTTTGTTAACTAATTAAAACAAGCTAAAATTAGTTAACAAAATTCATTGTAAATCAAATCAAATCAAAATATTTGGGGGCCACAAGTTAGGTTCCATAAAATCTGCACACTTCTGGGGAGTATATTTTGTAGGAAGGTGAAGTATGCTTTATTAATATAAGTTTCAAATTTTGTCAAAATCGGACTAAAACCAAAAAAATTGTGTGCGCACAAAAAAAAAGGGTTCCAAGTAAATTTGCCCCGCCGTGTATATAATCAAATATTATCTCAAAAGGGAGATATACATCTTATTCAAAATTTTTATCGGAGAATCTTATTCCTTTAATCCGAAAAGCATTTTGTATTACTATACAGGGTGCCCATTATTTATGGAATATAGTATATATTTCGGTAAATATCCAATGTACACAAAATTTTTCTATACCTATTATGTAAGTTGTTTAACATTTTATTTCCCACAATAAGGCCGCATTCAGTTGTTTTTATTTCAGAAAACAAATTAGTCACGAAAAACAATTGAAATTTTTTTAATGACAATGCACACTTTCATTAGGATCATTTGATACCTAGAGATTTTTTTCTCTTTTCAATGAACACGTTACCACCCTAGTTACCACCCGTGTAGAAAAAATGTTTATTTCATGCTTGCAGTTAATGGTAAACACTTTGAAAACCATTTTACTGCCAATTTCGTTTTGTCTTCAAAAAAAAACAACGTACACGTTCATTTGTTTTATTTTGATGTAGGATATCTAGATTAATGTTATTGATCTAATTATAATAATTTTTTTGAAAAATTTCCTTGAATAAGGGTACTAACATGCTATTACATGGAAAATAAAATGATTGATTGATTGTAACCGCAAGTACTAACGAAACTCCTCTTGTAAATTGCTCCGATATATCTAATTTTACTTCCATTACCTGTGTCGCTACGAATAATATACTTATCTGATTACTACGATGGCTCATTCTGTTAGTTTATATTCTTCTTCTTCTTATACCATAAAGTGGTAACAATAAATGAACCTCTTTATGTATATAACAAAATTCAATTTAGTAACAACCCTAGATTCGTTAACTTAATTATACCACCGATTCATAAAACGGCATTATATGAAAGATCATTTTCATACAATATTTCTAAAAAATATAATGCTTTAAGCAATAGTTTAAAAAAACATACCCGTCGGGAAATTTAAGAAGGCACTTCATAACATTGTTTTTGCTAGGCAAACGTTTGATTTGAGTTAAATTTTATAACCCATGTGACTGTAAGTTATTTATTTTTATTATTATTTTTTTTCATACATTTTGTTTTTCATAAAGTTATTTATGTACTTATTTTTTTTCCCATTACAAAGTAATTCGTTATTTTTCTGTACAATTCCCAATTAGATTTTGATTTCTTTTCATTATAGTAGGGTTAAGTGTAAGAGCAGAGTTGGGTCGCCGTGAGTAGCCCAACATCTGAATTTCGCCCTGTTAAATTGTGTGTGTGGCATGATTTAATAAAAGACTTTATTATTATTATTAAAAAATTAGCTGTGTTATTTGAGATATTAGCTACCGTTGCTTTGTAAATTAGTTTTTGAAGTTACCGAGCCGATATCTACAATTTTTGGTTACGTTATTTGTTTTACTCCGAAGAATTTGTTCACGCTACCTGATTTACATTCTGAATGAGTTAGATTGTATTGCTATGAATAGAAATTTAGTTATTTGTGCATTGTAAAGGATTTTTATTGAATTTAACGTCACGTTTATGCTTTTATAAAGATTTTTTAATTCGTGGTCGAACCAAATTTTGTTTTTGCTAGTGTAAAGTTATTCGCATTATTAATTTCGGTTTTATATCCGATTTCCGAGTGTCAAACGTTAGCATTGCTATTTCGCAATATTTTATGCCGCGCATTCACTACCCCTCTTGTTTGTTTGTTTGATTGTGTTGTTGTCTGTTACAGATTAGACTGAACGCGTCCTTCTTGAGCTCAACAAGGTTGTGACCAGAAGTTCAAAAGTAAATTTTTATTTTCGTCGACTCCTTGATACCTACAACGTTTGATTAGATACTGGTTTCACTTAACAACAATAGCTCCGTTGTTTTCTGCAGAAGCCCGTTTTGACGTTAATACTTTCTCTGACTACGTGTTTATCGCCTTTTCACTAAAAATTAATTTAAATTTAAATGTTGGCATTGCCGATCTTTCTAAAGTGTTAAATAATCCTCTATGTCCCCTATTCAATTTTCATATTCCAAGATGTCCAATTTCCATCACTTTGGCTCAATAAAAAATGGGGTAATTTCGTTCGTTTCAAATAGAATTAAAGAAAATGCTACAAATGTAACTGATCAAAATATACATACATGGCGATCTCATAAAATATTTCGATTTATAAAGGTTTCGCTACTAAAATGATGAAGTGACTTTTATCCATTGTTCTGAGACTGCTAGAAATGTTTCAGTGATTTAATGAAAAAAAGCGGCAACGAACAGTAAATGAAAAATTAATCGCGCCTTGATTAAAACACGTTCTTGCCGAATTTGGTAGTCGCTAAATGCGCAAGCCAGCGATACTTTGGGTATCTAGCTATAATCCGATCTTGCTGCCGTACCCTTTAAGGGGGTGAAAGGAACCGTTAATAACCGGTTCAATTTCGTCGTCGTTTCCACAAACGCTCCAGGTCGAATTCATCACATTTACCTTCTTCGTCTTTTTAAGCTTGCTGTTATATCAACGCGTACTGAATCAATACACTTAAATTATTATTTATATATGCTACTGATTTTCCACCCCACTTCGAAAATAACCCAACCAATTGCAAATTTTTAGAAAAAGGTGCCTTCTATTTGCATTGAGTGACTACGGAAAAGTAATCCTAGAAAAAATATTCCGAAAATAAATGTATTTGTATTCGAGCTTTATCGGGTTATGAATAATTGAAAGTAGTGAAAAAACACATTGTAGGTCGCAGGTGGAAGAAATGTAATTGCGTTTCCACTTGAAAATAATTGAAGTTTAGTACATGCAAGATAACACTTTTCGACTTCCTGCATTGAAATATATTTTCAACACATATTCCACTGAATTTGATCTTTTTTTTTCAGGTGTTGAAATGAAACTGTGTAATAGATTCTTTGGAATTTTTGGAATTTGATCGAGACCACCAACACTCTCAAATTGAGAAATTTTAAGTCAATATAAGGGTTTTTCTTCTAGCAGATGCCGGATGTGTACGAATGAATTCTGGATTCTTGATTACGATAGGAGGGCGGACAGCGTATACGCGTACCTAGGGCGCAAATTCTAATTTTTGAAAAGACTTTAGCCCCCGGGTTAAATTCGAACTTCGTAAATAAATTGTCATTAATTCTCCCGCAAGGTGACCGCGAGTTTTAAAATATGTAGGCCTTTGGATTTTAATCAGAATAAAGGAATATTGTCTTTTACCTTATGAATGAAGTCTCTTTATACAGCTGGAGTTGTTGAACCTGATGATTCGGTCGCAATGTCGGAGATGGCCACGTCCTAGTGCTTTGAAATCTGCAATCCTCCGCTGCAGTCTCCTCGGGTAAATGGACTCCAATAACTTGATTTGTATATAGATCCTCACTGCTCTTTTGTCAAATTAAGAAAGCCGTTGGTTATTTAATAGCAGTTCGTGAATCCTTTTAACTGGGCGTTACTGTAATTTCACGAATTCCAATAAATATGCGCAAAAATGAGTTTCCCTGATGTCGATTTTCCATAGCAAACGTCCAAAGAAGTCTAAAGAATCTGGAGAAAGCCTGCGACTCCAACTTCTACGTTTTTAGAATGTTTCGGCATAATATCAACTAAAAAGAACTGAAGCGTGTGGTTAATCAAACACAAAAAACGAAGACTGACGGGTTTTTGGCTTCGCAACGGGTGAATACCTGCTGAGCCCACTTGTTTCGCTTTAAAAGTGCAGCGGAGGTACTAAATTTTATTTACGAAGCGAGGCCGAATATAATACAGAGTGGCCCAACGAGAAGTATACAGAGGGCTTTTAGGGTATTAAATTTAGAAATTTCGCAAAATCTTCGAACACGTCAATTTTGTATTCGAGGGGGACAACTTTTGGAATACAAATCACGAACCCAAGTCTTCACCCCTCTAGGTAGGGAGCTTAACCCCTAAAATTTTAAATGGAATCCTATGGCAAATGGCACATTATTTGAAAGCCAATTTAATCGTGATTACTAATCTGCTTTGCTTTTTAAATTCTAATTTTGATTCATTTCGGAGAACTGACAGGTTCACTTAAGTTTAACAAACAAATTGAAGAGTCAAAATAAAATTTTAATACAAGATGACTTAGATCGCATTTGTTTTGGTTTAGAAAAAAACATTTGAAAGCGAATATCTCGGAAACGAATCAATAGACGCCTTGTCTTTATTTGCTTTATTCAATTAATCAATAAAAATGTGTGTAACTTGAATGTAGATTGTAACCCTTTACTTCTGTACTTACTGAATTCAATCACTTGTACCTTTAATGTGTAACCTTTGTTGGTATTGGCAATCATGTTTCATTGTCGGTAGGGCTGTATCTGTGCTGTACATACTTGCATGTGTACATATTTAATTTGTGTATTGTGCTTTTTAGTCACTCTCGATTATTTCATTGCATTTCATTATATTTGCTTATTTGGGACTGTGAGTAATCAAGAGGCAAGTGTGCTTGTTTAGAGGGGATCGAGTTATTCAAGTTTATACGGCCTTGGTGAACCTAACACTAACATTTTCACTCGTTCCGAACCTAACAACTTTAGCCCAGGACTACAGGGTCTCCACTGGTCTTGGGTAATCCTCCCGCCCGGCGAGGTATATTTGACATCTCTTAGTTTTGTCCGATGTATGTGTTGTAATACCTGTGGAATGGCTCGATCCCATTTTGGTTACTCATAGCGGGTTTGAAGTAGTTACCCCGGTTTCGAGAGGGTTCAAAAGTGCTGTACATTTGGATGTTGTTCATTATAGCACTACTCCGAATTATATAAATTATATAAGACAAACGTAATGACATACAATACATACAACATACATGTAGAGTCCGCTGGCTTTAAACGGTTATAAAAAAAAAACTACCCAACCGATTTTTATCAAATAAAGCGTAATATAATCGTCAACTATTTCTACGTATCCGTACGTAATGTCATATTTCTTGTTAAATTTGGGAAAATGTGATAGTGAAATATGTACGGGAAAGCGCGCTTTTTCAATGAAAGTATACGAACTCAGAACTTTAGGATTTAATTACAAAAAAAGTATTCACTCAAATGGGATAATGTTTTACGTATGTGATAGAATACACCTTTAACTATACGTCGATACATTTTTATGCATTTCTGTATAATTACGCAAACGTTACAGCGATAAAATGACAGGCGCGTTTATTCGCTTATTATAAGATACACTTTAATTCGATAACGTAAAAAGTCCTGGCAGCAAAACTTTACAATTTACGTATGTTAACAACAACTTACCAATTGATACGTTCCAAAAATTTCATTAATATCGGCTCCAGCGATTTTGAGATTTGAGCCTTCAAAGTGAGCGGACTCTACATTTTACTCCGATAGTAGTTGACTACATGGAGGCCCAATCCAAGTACTCTATAGTTGAGTAGAATGCATGTGAGATAAGAACTTTTTTTAGGGAAGATTTGAATTGGGGTAGTTTCAAGGTTTTAAAGATTGCCGGAAGTTTCATTATATAATTGAATGTTAATTGAATTGTAGATGACGAGTTTCAGTCTATGTTTATGTAATACTAAGAGATTTGATGATCTTGTGTTGTGATTATGAATATCCGAGTGTTTTTGATACGTCGCACTGCATTTGTGAATTTCGACAAGCGAATATAAAATAAACAAAGCTGGTAGTGTTAAAATATTTAAATTTTTAAAATGAGTTCTACAGGATACATTAGAAGAGATACCCATAATGATCCTTAGAGCTTTTTTTTGTAAAATGAAGACTCGAGCTGCATGCGGCGAACCCCCCCCATAGCAAGATACCATACGAAATGTGTGAGTGAAACAAGGTATGGTACGCGGTAAGGTAAATGCCGGAGTAGTATAGAACCACTTAAGACGCTCTGCAGGGGCACCGTTTTGGTATTAGCTTCAATATAAACTTAATCAACTATTGCTTTTGGTGTTCCTTACCCATAAAACGCCCTCAGTGCCTGCTGAGAACCCAGTTATTACAAAACGTAGGTGTCCTACATGACGATTACGATTTTAGTGCACTCGGAGTGGCCCCCGAGTGACAGATTCTCGCGGGAAATGTAAGCGAGAATATTCAAATAGGCAGCCATGTTAGTGTGGCATTCCCGCTACTACAGAATATGGTCCAATATCCTGGTGTGACTTGAAGTTGGCGTTAGCTCGCCGAGATATTAGGAGGCTAAGATCATCACAACTTGTTCTATTTTTACGACCTGAGAATTGGCAAATTTACCCACTGAAGCGCCATACGCATAAAGATGTATTTCAGAATGATCAAGAAGTATCCCGTCCATAAGTACAAGCACGAAAACAGGACTAAGGCTCAAACTATTCAAATAAGGAAACTAGGCCAAACCCACGTAACAACCTAAGGACCTAAATATTTAATTCGCATTGAACAGTATTTACACCTACAACTGGGTCCTCGCTGATTTTTTGAGAGTTCGGTTTTTGGGATTTGGGTTTCCTTGCCTGTGGATTCGTTGGATATAGAGGGTTGATTACAGTGTAAAGCCCGATTCCTTCACTAAACGCCGTAAGAGTTGGCAGGCGGAGCATCTTCTGCTCCACAATTTAACTGTATGTAACAGTGTTGGGTCTAGTAACAGATTATTAAAGAATTAAAATTATTATCGGTAATTTGGCGGTGAATTTCTAACGATATTTCACTTATTATTCCATTTCAAGTTTAAAGGGGTTGTGCTCATATGACAAATATAATTGTTCATGACTCGTTTAAATAAATACAAATAAATTCGATTACTTCCTTTCAAAAGCGAAACGTTACAGTTCAATTGTGTTTTTTTCGGTAGTCGTCACAAAAAAATCGAGTAAATGTCTCCATTTTTAATCAAGGAAAAATAACACGAAAGTATTGAGATGCAGTTACACAAAGCGCCAAAGGAATCCTTAGAGCCTGCATGCATTGCGAATATAAAAGATCCATTAAAAGTGCAGTGCTTTATTTCTAGCATTTTTATCATTCAAATTATTTACTTCGAAGACTAGAACTACGACGGAAAGGTGACGTAAATTCAAATTTTCAAGAGCGTAAATATTAACGAGTTGTCCTTGCGATTAGTTTAAAAAGTCATGAAGATGAAAGCAGAGCAAAGAAGAAATGTTGGTTAACGTTACCCTAAGGTTAACTATTGGATAACTTCATGCAGGCGATCTGGACCAGAACGTCTGAGTGGTGCATTTAACAAAAATTAAACTTCCTACCCTTGTGCGAATATGACGTTGTACTAGGTGGAAAATGTTGCTTCTCGCAATCGATGCGCATGAATAGGTGATATGATAAATAATGAAAATCAACTCTCGACGCTGTATCAGTATTTCATTTCGACGTTGGTTCCGGTAGCAATTTATAAATGACATTGACGCATTTTTATAAAATTCTTTCTTACAAAGCAAACAGGTGTTTAAAATGTGCTCTTAGAAGGCGCTAGTTACTAAACGTAACTTCTAAATTAATCCTAATGTTAGATTGGAATAATAACGATTTAGATATTCTGCAACATCGATATTCTATAAAAGTTGAATTTCTGAAACTAAGGATCAAAATGGAGTTTGGACGTATTCAATCTGCTGGTGGTACATGGAGGATTGATTTCTACAAGACAACTCATTGACGCGAATTCAGTCGTAATGGACCACTTCGAATATTTATTATAATCAGCAACTTATAATGCATTGTTGTAATAGAAAATAAATCTCTTTGAGCGATGTGAATTTATTTTTTCAAACGAAGTGGTCCTACTTCTACATAATTTCCAAAAAGAGACTTCTTTTTTGTACGGTTTGCCATCTGTTGAAATGAGATTTAATATTTCACTTGTGGTTACTGCTCCCTCTGTATTGAACCGATTTTCACGCTAAACAAGGTAGACACGTGCAGTAGAGTCGCATTAATTTACCTTGTCAGTAATTTTAAGTAATAAATCTAGAACGAATAACAACTTGCAAAATTTATTTACATTGTTTAAAGTTTAAAATTAATTACTTTTACTTTGCTTCACTTGAAAGTTTAATTATAAAATATTACCATTTTATATTGAATTTAACCGGCCAGAAGGTAAATTAAATCCATTAAGCTAGTGAAGTCTGAAGAGGTGAGAGGGAAGACTAAAAAATACGTCAATTTTAAATATATTTGATTGGACTTCTATTTAATTAATTTGATACCGGGACAACCGCAAAGATTTAACAACTTAATTTAGTCTCAAGCCTGTTAACGAGGGACGATGGACTTTGTGAATGTCTAATAAAGAAGGTAACAAGTGATTGGGGAATTAAAAAAGTTGCTAATGTGGATTGACTGATGAACTTTAATTAAAATATCGATTCCCTGCATCTGTGATTACCCAAAACGTAGGTCGCCCGAAAATTACCAGGAGGTAAACCTAGTTCGAGTGTTTTTTTCTTCCTTTTCTTACACCTACGTTGCGCCCTTTTGAGATCACGCACCTACTTCCTATATGGTTCCTGTCTTGACCTTACGCAACTTTGCCGTTTTTAGGTTCTGAGCACACATTTTTCCCGTCCGCTGATCATGACGTCATTCTGTCACCCCGCTGGACCAATTTGTGAGTTATTTAGGAGCTTTTCGTATCCCAAGCATAAAATTTTAGGGTTCGTTTAAATAATCATTAGGAACCTAAAATTTATTAGGGAATAACTTGGATTCAGCCCTGGAACTACGAGCTATTTAAGAGCTTTCATTTACAGAGATAACTGCCAAAGCGGCCAGGTCCACTTGAACGTAGCCCCTCATCGGTTTACCTTTACTTTTTACAAAGTAATTTTTATCCATAATTTATGAGCTATTTAACTAAACCACCCACCTGTCCAGCTAGCTCAATTAAACTCAGCTAACAAAATCCTTTAGATACAGGGTGAGTTTTTTTTCATTTTAAGCATTGGGATCTCGAAAACCATAAGACATACGGATTCGGTTAAATGAGGAACGAGTTGTCGTTTTAAGAGCTTATTTAAGATATGCTTTGGTTTTTTGAAAAAAATCCACGGTTCACTAGATATGAGCGAAAAACTGATTTAGTGATTTTTCATTTAAATGTTGTAGAATCGTTAT